GCAATGAAACTGCGCTGTGGAAGTTGGCAACTGTAGCTTGTACTGAGATGAGCCACAAGATCCATGCCTGCATCTGCATCGCTAGCATCACAGATCTGATGTGTCTGCTGGCCCTTTACTTTTGTGCCCAGGCAGGGGGGACGTGACTATGCTGGCATATCAAAACGTGCCGAGCACTCCCCATGCTTCCTCGGCAACCTACGGAGGTTCATGGGTAGTTATAAGTAGGGTTATAAGTGCCCTAAGTGAGAAACATGTATTACTATACCTATAACACTTTTTACATCCAGGCCTCTGAAGTCTGCCGGGTAAGTATGCTGACACTTATAACACTACTTATCAGTACCCATGAACCTCCAAGTAACCTTGCGGCAAAGTCTCTCGCCGACTCGCCGCGCTTCCTGCAGCTCCTCCCCCAAGTGGCCCAACGCGGACCGAATCGTATCCTAAGCGTGGCGCAACATCTTTTGTCACGTTCTGTGGCAGCCGTTTTGGCAGTTGTGTTGTTTTTGCTGCCTGTTTGGGTTCCCCGTAACTTGAGCCTGAAACTGTCAGCACTATGGATATGCGACGACAAATTCAGGCTTCAATGATGTCAACAGTTACAAGGATAACGACCGCCACTCACACCCAACCAGTACGACTGCTGGCGCACGCACCCCTGCGCTTTGAAATCATCCGACGGTGATGTCTCCAACAAACAGAAAGCATACTTAAAACTACCCGCCCCAGCTTTGTTGAATAAGACTCGACTAAATGACCATGGCAACAGCGACTCTTGTTTTCAAGCTTTACACAAGGGCATGCGTAGAGGAAGGAGCAGCAACGAGTACTGAAACACTCGAAAAGGCTGAAGCGCAGCTGAGCTTCAGCACCAGCCACAAGCCAAAGGGTGGTGTGGCCATTGCAAGCTCCTGGCTTTGGAGGTTCAGGGTACTTCTGAGCCCAAGACTATCTGTACTTGTAACCCAATTATAACCATGTTAGGGCACTTAAGGGGCTTGTATGAGCATTCGCGCACCCCCCCCTGGCCACGGTAATCCCCCCCGCCGCCCCCCAGGTGGTTCTTGGTCTGTGGTTCATAGGTTTAGGGTTAGGCTGTAGAGTTCAGTATTTTCACTCTGACCCCCTTTGGTCCATTGGTTCAGGGTTTAGAGTTTAGGGTTCAAGGTTTGGGGTACTGGTAGGTTGATGGTTTCCCCTCTCCCCCCCCTGTGGGTCGTGCTGGGTTTACGGTTCAGGGTTAAAGCGGATAAGGTTTCGGGTTTACCCTTGTCCCCCCCTGTGGTTCATTGGTGGGTTTAGGTTTTAGGGCTTAGGGTTCAGGGTTTGGGGTTTGGGCTTGAGGGTTTCTCTCTTCCCCCCCTGTGGTCCGTGGTGTTTTTAGGGTTAACGGGCAGGGTTTGGGGGGGGGGGGGGGGGGGGGGGATACCATGGCGGGGGGGTCGATTATGCGGAACACGGGCGCATATAAGTGGGGTTTTTTGTACAGTTATGATTGGTTAATAAGTACCATGAACCTCCAAGGGGACCATGTCATCCCTTCTTGCGGACAAAGGATGTGTTCGTTCTGAGATCGGAATGAGGCAGGAGAATCTAAGAGTTGAGCCAGTACCTCCTTCAGAATGGCTGCCCTACACGCCCTGAGACAACTTCAAGCCCAGATTCGTGGCAGGTGAGTGATCACAGTTTTGAAGACGGCGGGGCCGGACTGCAGGCCGACTGCCGCCACGTCGTGCAAGGTCTCACGGTTCCTATACTCCCCTTAGAACCTTAATGGAAACAATATTTCTAATGCCCTCTTGGGTTTCATATAAACAAACATAAAAAGAATTCCCAAGGGGGACATAGGTTCAGCTTCAGAAGACGCATGCCCAGATGATCTGCATCAGAAGGGCTGCTTGGAAATTCAGGCTGGTACATGCGCAGTGAACGCAGGTTTGGGAACAGGGGGATGAAAGCCTTGTGCGGATCCACCTCCTCCAGGCTTAGTTCCAGTGTTTCCAGCGAGCTTGCAGGAGACTCGAAGAACGCTCGGTTCTTCAGCAGGGCCTCGAGTATTCGCGGCATCTTGCCATGCAAATCCAGCGACACCAGTGCAATCTGGGTTGGATCATCTTTTCTGGTTTCCAGGAAGCACACTAGAATGTCCATAATTTGTGTAGGCATGTTGGCATTCCAGTCCGTGATGACGAGAGCGACGTCTTCGAACCGAGCTTTTGGTGGACCGCTCACACCAAGATCTTCAGCAAAATGCTGGATGTGGGACTGCAGGAGATCTTTATTCGAGATCTGATGAAGCAGTTTTGCATCCACTGGAATGGTGCGCCTTTGCCTCTTCCGAGAAGTTGCTTCCAGCCTCTGGTCGAGAAGTCATGCATCCTCGTGCTGTAAATCTCTCACTGTAAACTAGACAAGGCAATATGGAAAGATTCAATGCCAACAAACATCTGCAAGAGTCCGTGCACGGCTGTCCACCTCCATCGCAGCAAGATCTGGAGCTGATAGCTCTGATAGCCAGCAGCCGCCCGCCCTTCAAAGATCAATGCGCCACCTTGCTCGTCTGACTACGTTTACGCACCGTAGATGATACCCATGCTGACCCCAAGTCGCCGGTACAAGCCGCTTCAGCTGCGCTGTGCAGCTAATGTGCGATAAGCGCCACCTAAGCCTATACTCCCCTTAGAGAGGACATGTAATAAGTTTAATCCCTTCAAGATTCACAAAAGTCCTAATGAAACTATAGAAATGTCAAAGAAAACCTCCAGCTCACCTCACATCAAATTATGACGCTACATGCGCGTCGAGCTGCGTCACTCGTCTGGGCAGCAAAGGGTTGGAAGTGCAACAGCTACTTGCATGGCTCAAGCCGAGATTGAAGTAACTGCGCGCGGAAAGAATAAGAACACAACGTCATTTGCAGTGCACGGTTCCACATTCATCTGTGTTCCGCCATACGCCACATCTGATCCAGTGAGTCAGTGGTAAGTCAGTAGAGAAAGCTGGTACGACACACGTGCCTCCTTAAACCTCAGGCAATCTCCAGGGCGCCGGCACCCACAATCTCAAAGTATGGGTCAGTGTCCACGGTTGTGACGGCCTGCCGGATGTTTGCAGCTGTGCTTGCAGCTTACAATGCAAAACGGCAAGTGCAAGCACGCTCGAGTGCATCAGAAGCAACCTCTTTGTCCTTGCAAATTTGGTCAACGATAGGACTGGAAAAGCCCGAGCTGAGGGTCTGTTAACGGCCTCGCCGGCGGCGCAGAAGCACATGTGAAACAGACGTGCGTATTGATGGAAGCGCCAGCTATCCACCATATCTGACTTGCCCTAAGTCATGAAGGCCTAAAGCCTGACAGGACTTAGGGCAAAAGAGGCGTGATCCTTCGAACAAATCTTCCAAGTGCGGGTCCCTTCTGAAAGGGCTGAGTGCTCTCAGATGCTTCGCCAAGTGGTCCGCTTGACCATTTTGCCGACAATTTCCAATCCAGCAAGCATGGATACAGAAGTTCGTGCAAAGTACATAACTATTGAGTAATGCGAATGTCTTGGCGGCGCATCTTGCAGGCGGTAAGCAATGTGTATGACCTGAATGAGGTGCCCAATGCCAACGCCAAAGAGAATTAAAAATTGAATTTCGGATGTCAGTCCTTGCTGAGGAGAAGAAGGATAGCGTGAATGCTGAGCGGCCAAGCAGCAGCACAGGTGTGCAAGACCTGTGCAGCTGTCTTTCAAATGTGCCGGCCCGCTCAATCAAATTGACACAACTCCTCAACTCGCCACGTTTGGCTGCACACCTTAGCACACAGCCCGCAGAAATATAGAGTTCTCTTCAGGAATCGTGGCCAGTGGCAGAGTTACATAACTCATGGTTTGAAGACAATCGTGGATCGCATGCCGGCATTGCTGGCTTGCTAACGCCCAACTGCAGACATGAAAAGTATGAAAAGTACGTGCCCCGTGTGTTCATCGAAGATTGCACCGTTGCCGAGAAAAAACCATGTCCTTGCAGTTCCGGGCAAGTCGGATTACTGAAGGAGCTCTTCATCGCATTCCCTATACTATAGTCAAAAGCTTATGCCTCTGCGGGAGCTCACACGTTCTCAGCACGACTACTCCCAGAAGCACGTAGACTCTATCTACACTCTCGACGCTAGACCGGGCCTTGAGACACATTGCGCTTCTGTGCCTGCCAAAATTTGTACAGTGTTTAAAAAAATCGCCATGGCTGCGGGGGAAATCAACTCCCCTGGGACCCGTTCTGTGCTCAGTGACCTACAACGGGAGTTGACGGTCTTGCCTGGCCCACTTTTGTGGTGACAGTGTGCGAATCACGCCTTCTGCTTGCACAATTGTCATCCTGAGTTGTGCTTTGAACCCTTTGAAAATTATTTATGAACAGGTTCCCTTAAAAGGAAAAAGAGGAAATTAAAAAATATCCCCAAGCACAACCCAGCATCTCTTCATCTGTCACATGATGAGGATTCGGGAAAGCACGCTGACGGCGCCGGAGACCAGCGATCCCAGCCTTTGCTGAGCCCACCCGGAGCAGCCATCTATCCGCAGCTCACTAGTGCCAACATGCCAACATGTGCCAAACCTTAGGGTTTAGGGTTTAGGGTTTAGGGTTTAGGGTTTAGGGTCTAAACCCCAAACCGTAGACCCTTCAAGCTTAGTCGCACGATGAACTGCTTGAGAAAGATTTCCTGTGTGAGCTTTACATCGTGGATGAAGAAGCCCGCTGAGCTGTCCTTTGCGCAATCTTCAACAAGCCACACGTAATTTCGAACTACTCTTTCAGTGTGAAAGCGTGTTTCAATCGCATCAACCCAAAGGATGAAAGGATGATGATGCCCAGCGGCTGTGATATACCTCACCAGATACTGGCGATCAGCATCGTTCGGTTCGTCTGACGGGATTTGATTGACGAAGGCCGGTATGGCTCGGCACTTCCTTATCTCGAGAACTTTTCACACTGGCTCATGTGTGCGCGAAACTGGTCAGCCTGTGGTGAGCATCTCGTAATCCCTGCCGAGCTTCTCAGTCAATGCGGCCCCGTGAGCACACACACGCATGTTCAGAATGAAGAGGAAGAGCAATGGCACAGCGGCAAGAATCTCCGCCAACAAGCTCTCGAGATAGAAGTCAGTCCGAAATGCGAAGCTCACTGCCCCTCCTAGAAAAAAGGCAAAGCCAACAGCTCCCACTGCTTGCAGAGCCACAAAGCCACCAGCAAGCTCTCGGCCAACGCATTTGAGCAGTGCCTGCATCGCGTTCCAGCTGCTCACGCACTCGATGAAATCGGGGCACTCAACGATCTGCCCGCACCAACAATCCAAGACTTTGTCCAGTCCCAGCAGGAGATGAGACTGCACGTACGTAATCACCATCAAGGATGCGCTGGACACTGCAAAGCACAGCAACAGCGTGAGTTTCACAGCATATATCGCCCAAATACCCTCCTCGGCTGGAGCAAAGCTCTGAGCGTGGTAGCGAGGCATGAGGTATCCATGTCAATGCGTGGGAAATGTGAGAAAACTTCAAACTAATTGGCAGATAGGGTAATTGCAAAAAAATGTGATGCTACTTCTCGGCCACCATATTCCACCATGAAACATTCAGCACAATCAGGCGAGGGGCCCACTCATCAGTGAGCGGTAGTTCGATGTCCTGCTGACTGATCCAGATTTCCAAGCCAAATTGCCCCAGGCCGCACAAGACGAGACAAAGCCAGGCCACAACGTACCTGAGGCTGAGGAAGTTAAGACGTTTCTCAAGTTTGAGGCTGGAAAAGATGTGTTGCGCTTCGAAAAAGCATTCGGCTGCACAGGTCAGCGCGTACTGCCATGGGTGGACGTCCAATGTGAAGAGGTTGCGCGGATCGGCCTTGAGACTGGATCTCCTAGCGCAGGCCTTATGAATCTCGAGAGTTTCGGGCCTCGAAAGTTTGGGTGTGTGAGGTCAAAGGGTTGGAGCAGTGGCGAGAAATTACAGGACCGGATAAGCCCACAAGTTCTTCTCTTGCCTGCCCCGATGGGGATGGGGGACGGTGTCGCGCATCAGTCGGAGTGTCGGATGCGTCTCTCTTCTTCTTCTTCTTCTTCTTCTTCTTCTTCTTCTTCTTCTGCCGGGCTTGGGGGGCCCGACGGCCCTCGCGCGAGGCGCGCCCAGTCGCATGTCCATCGTGAGACTGTCACTCGCCATCTCTCCCTCTCTCTCTGTGTTGATGTGTGTGTTGCTGTGTGTGTCGGTGTGTTGATGCATGTGTGTGCGCGTGTTGATGTCTCTCTGTGTGTATGTGTGTGTTGATGTGTGTTGATGCGTGCTGATGTGTGTTGATGTGTGTTGATGTGTGTTGGTGCGTGTCGGTGCGTGTCGATGCGTGTCGGTGCGTGTCGGTGTGTGTCGGTGTGTGTCGGTGTGTGTCGGTGTGTGTTAGTGTATGTTGGTGTGTTGGTGTGTGTTGGCGTGTGTTGGTGTGTGTTGGTGTGTGTTGGTGTGTGTTGGTGTCTTGGTTGGTGTGTGTTGGTGTCTTGGTTGGTTGGTGTGTGTGTGTGTGTGTGTGTGTGTGTGTGTGTGTGTGTGGGTGGGTGTGGGTGGGTGGGTGTGGGTGTGGGTGTGGGTGTGGGTGTGGGTGTGGGTGTGTGTGTGTGTGTGTGGTGTGTGGGTGTGTGTGTGTGTGTGTGTGTGTGTGTGTGTGTGTGGTGTGTGTGTGTGTGTGTGTGTGTGTGTGTGTGTGTGTGTGTGTGTGTGTGTGTGTGTGTGTGTGTGTGTGTGTGTGTGTGTGTGTGTGTGTGTGTGTGTGTGTGTGTGTGCGCGCGCACGCGCGCGCGCGCGCGCGCGTGCGTTCGCGCGTGTGCGTTGGCACGTGTGCGTTCGCACGTGTGCCGGTGTGCGGGTGTGCATGTGTGCGTGTGTGCGTGTGTGCGTGGGTGCGTGCGTGCGTGGGTGGGTGGGTGAGTGGGTGAGTGGGTGAGTGGGTGAGTGGGTGAGTGGGTGAGTGGGTGGAGTGGGGTGGGTGGGTGGTGGGTGGGTGGGTGGGTGGTGGTGTGTGGTGTTGTGTTGTGTGTGTGTGTGTGTGTGTGTGTGTGTGTGTGTGGGTGTGTGGTGTGTGTGTGTGTGTTGTGTGTGGTGCTGTGTGCGTGTGCGTGGTGCTGTGCGTGCGTGCGTGCGTGGGTGGGTGGGTGGGTGGGTGGTGGGTGAGTGGGTGAGTGGGTGAGTGGGTGAGTGGTGAGTGGGTTGAGTGGGAGAGTGGGTGAGTGGGTGGTGAGTGGGTGAGTGGGTGAGGTGGGTGAGTGGGTGAGTGGGTGCGTGGGTGCTGGGTGCGGTGGGTGCGTGCGTGCGTGCGTGCGTGCGTGGGACGTGTGTGTGCGTTGCGTGCGTGCGTGGGTGGTGTTGTGTGTGTGTGTGTGTGTGTGTGTGTGTGTGTGTGTGTGTGTGTGTGTGTGTGTGTGTGGTGTGTGTGTGTGTGTGTGTGTGTGTGTGTGTGTGTGTGTGTGTGGTGTGTGTGTGTGTGTGTGGTGTGTGTTGTGTGTGGTGTGTGTGTGGTGTGTGTGTGTGTGTGGTGTGTGTGTGTGTGGGTGTGTGTGTGGTGTGTGGTGTGTGTGTTGGTGTGTGTGTGGGTGTGTGTGTGGGTGCGTGCGTGCGTGCGTGCGTGCGTGCGTGCGTGCGTGCGTGCGTGCGTGCGTGCGTGTGCGTGTGCGGTGTGGGTGTGGTTTGTGTGTGTGGGTGGTGCGTGCGTGCGTGCGTGCGTGCGTGCGTGCGTGCGTGCGTGCGTGCGTGCGTGCGTGCGTTCGCGTGCGTGCGTGCGTGCGTGCGTGCGTGCGTGCGTGCGTGCGTGCGTGCGTTGCGTGCGTGCGTGCGTGCGCGCGCGTGCGTGTGGGTGTGGTGTGTGTGTGTGTGTGTTGTGTGTGTGTGGTGTGTGTGGGTGTTGTGTGTGGTGTGTGTGTGTGTGTGTGTGTGTGTGTGTGTGTGTGTGTGTGTCTGTGTGCGCGTGTGTGCGTGCGTGCGTGTGTGCGTGTGTGCGTGCGTGGGTGCGCGTGTGTGTGTGTGTGTGCAATCCCACGAGATTTGCGATGTTTTCAGATTTCGATTCCGGTCCCATGATATTTTCGAGGTTTTCAACGCTGCAGAGTTCGGGTCCCGCGGTATTTGCGAGGTCTCAGATGTCTCCCAAATTTGTGCATCAGGTGTCGGCGGGTGCGGGCGGGCGGGTGGTGCCGCCAAGAAAAGATGTGAGAAAAAAAGGTTGCCTAAGCAGTTGCACTATTGTGGAGAGACCCATGAGAACTGCCACGCCTCAAGAAATCTTTGAGCCTCACCAAAATTCGGGGTGCAGGGACATGGCCAGTGCAGCTGCGGGCTAAGCGATAGAGCATCCCCTGTTTAGAGGCGCTGGCCTGGCTGATATGATGGATGTATACACGGAGGAATCTGGAGGTTCCAACTGCCAGCATGCTGGTGCCCATCCCGTGTTGAACTGGGGAAAGGGCAACAAGCTAGAAGAGGCCCAAGCCCCTTCTTGATGGAAAGACTTCTCTCACTCCCCCTGCTTCGTAGTAGGGAATGAGGGAATGAGGGCCCTATCTTTAAGAGATTATAGGCCCTCATTCCCTCTTCCCTACTAAGAACCAGACAGACAAAGGCCCAAGAGTGTTTTCATGGCTTTCGTTGCTACTATTTACTTAAGAACCCCAAAAGAATAAAAGATAATAATCCCTATATTACCCTCAATAAGGAAGAGTATGGAAGAATGTTTTTTCGGGGTTCTTAAGCAATTAGTAGATTGCATCCCTAAACCCTAAACCCTAAACCCTAAACCCTAAACCCTAAACATTGCATCAAGGCCACTTGCGCCATTCTTGGCCACTCACTTCGCTCCAATGCAGCTTGAAGTCCGCGACGAACAGGTGCAGACGATCCACTGCCAGGTTCCTTGGACTAAAGTTTAGGGTTTAGGGTTACAGGCTGCTGTAACAACAGGTACGATGGCTGCAAGCACGGCGAACTTGTTCAGGGCAGTTGCATGCAGTTTGGGCCTTGGAACTTGGTATGCAGCTGTCAAAGCCATGCGCAGAGTCTGCAGCCTTCGGTAGTGCTGTCGAATCTCAAGTCCTCTGACAGCAACGCGCCCCGCAAACGTGCGACGCAGAATGTTGCCACCAAACCATACAGCAAACCTCAGGACACATTGACATGACAGCGGAATGCGCCCACTTCTCCTGCCTCTGTACCAACGTACACCTTAAAAAATGTTCTGACTGTCGCCCAGGATGCTAGAGGCCAGGCTGAAACTCAAAGACTGAGCTGTCTTGCCCGCATCTGTCACGGTCTGCCTTATTCGATCTAGGAAAGTGTGCCATTTTGGAGTGTGACTGTGGATCTGTGCACGCGCAACTGCGTGTTTGACAAGTGGGCACACGCACGCGCACCCGCCATACTGAGTGCAAAGCAGAAGCACGAGCACAGCCGACAGAATGAAGACAGGGATGCCTTGGCTGTAGTCGGTCCGGCGCCAGAAAACTTTCACAAGCAACCGCTGGTGGATGTGTTGAGACAAGAAATGCAAGGCAATACGGCGAGACTGTATCAAGTGCGGGAATGACCGCCCATTCAAAACAAGTACACTTCAAAAGGTGGACGGTGGGCTTGTTGCTAATCTCCAAGCTGTGGTGCACCCCACAAGCAAGCCCCGCACATATCTACGTACGCTGTGACTCGAAAACCCTAAACCCTACACCCTAAGCCCTTGGAATCCAAGCTGCCAGCAGCCCAAAAGAAGCAGGCTGGGAGTGCCAAGAGCAGCCTGGATCCTTTGTCCAGCTCCGCGGGGTTTGGCTCCTTTCAGATGCATGGGGTTGAGGGTTTAGGATGCTAACTTAGATTACAGCTGCAAGGCTCGCAAGTGTCTACCATGGTGATTCTTCGACCTGACTGTGGCTACCAATTTTGCCACTGAACCCCAAACCCTAAACCCTAAACCCTTTGCAAACCCTAAACCCTAAACCCTAAACCCTAAACCCCCAAACCCGGATCCTCGAAGCTGAGGTGTGTCTGTGTATGCGAGTCCAGGATGTTGGCTTGCGACTCTTGGTTCATGATGACAAGGTTCGAGCCGCGAAGTCGCAAGCGCTTTTGTGAAGTCTGCGGCACCTTTTGCTGAATGGCTTGGAAATCTGCATCTTCGGCCTGTGAGTTGAGAAGTCCGGGTATGATTCCGTCCGGAGCATCCGGTGGCGCTAGGCAATTGCGGGACTCAGGTGCCGAGACGGTAGGAGCCTCCGGAAGCGGACTGCGGATACTTCGACGCTCGGACCGAACGGACCCAACATCGCAGACCTCTTGCAAGAAGGCGCTCTCCAACTCCACCAGGCTCTGTATTGAGGCCACTGGTCGCCGGGGCTTCGTAGGCCGGGGCTCCTTCGGTGAAGTTGGTCTTGCCGGTGAGGATGGGGAGTGGCGATCTGGGGATTTCTGCGGCTCTGCCAATGCTTCCATGGCCCCAGCAATTTGCTCTAAGTATGCGATGACGGTCTGATTCGTGTCAGCATGTACGAGGTACTCTGCCAGCTTCTTGTCCAGAAGCTTCTCAAGCCTATACTGAACTTGGAACCGCAGCAAAAATAACATTTTAGCTGTTTCTTAGGAACTACAGTGCCCTTAACATCAAAAATCACTCCCAAGTATCCCGAAGAAGCCTGCTCTCCCAAAGGTCCACTGGTAGGCCCATGGCCTTGGCGGCGCTTAAGCTAGCCGTGCTAGCCGCAAAACTTGCTGTCGCCATGGATGTGTCTGCCTCTGGGAGAAGCATGTCTCCACAAAGAGTCAATGGGCTTTCAGCCCGGTCATCCATCTTGAGGTGTCCCGGCGGCAGTCGAGCACGGCTTTCTGCCACAGGTTTGTGAGGGTACTTAGCTACTTGATTGAAGATTCAAGCACGTAAGCTCGGCAAGCAGAAGCTCCTTTCCATGAACGAGGCATAGGCCCAGTATGTGGCTAAGTTTCATCATTGATGGACTGGTGCTTGCCACAAGTGATGCTTGCACAAACTGTTGACATGCATCAACTCTGTAGAATTTATGCTGCCTTTAGATCCGGCTCCTGAGGATCACGTCCCATTCCCCACCTGATCCTCAACACCCCTTTTAATGGAAATACTGGGCAATTAGCAACCAGGCAGAAGGAGTGCGACAAGGACACCTGCACCCTCTCACACATACTCTCGCACTCTTAAGGGTGACCTGCGCATGTCTCCGAAACCGGCGCCTTGCGCACAAGTGCCATGTGAGTGCCACCTTTCTTGAAGGCATTCAAGCATGCCACCAGCTTCGTCTCCTCTTCCGAATCGGGCTGCAAAACCGGGCTGTGAACCATTTGTGATAAGCCTTCCTTTGGTACCATGCTACAGTAGTCCGACGGAGGTACCGTTCCTGTGAGCAAAGTGGTCGGAGATACAAGCGCAAGATGAGCATCTTGCGGCTGTCTCGCTTGATCTTGCTTGTATCCATGCTAAGCCCAGATGGGGGTTGACGATACATTAGGGGACCCCGAATAGACCGAATAGACTCTCAAGAAGTAGGATCCCCTTATAATAAGGCTCCAAGAAGGTAGCCCCAAAGTCGTAAACCGCCAGATGATGCCCACCCCCTTCCATATCTTTCAGAAGCCATGTCCTCGAAGACGCTCTCAACCTGGCTTGCTTGACATTGAAGAACGGGCATGTAAGCCAGGCTGATGAGATCTTATAAAAGTCGTAAAAGCTGCCCTGTGCCTTCCTGCCAAAGATCTGAATGAAATCGCCAACCTGACACAAACACTTGCTGCTGAAGGCATGGAGAAGCAAGAAACCAAAACACTAAATGCTAAACCCTAAACCCTTCCGATGTTGGCAGCAAATCATCCGGACTCCCGTGGCCATGCTCACAGCCTTCATCTCATCCTCTGGATCGGCAAGCATCAAGTCCTGATGCACTCCATCCCCTAAACCGTAAACCCTAAACCCTAAACAGGAAGTATTGCAGTCACAGAGCAGGGGCTGGACAGTCGTCCTTCGTGTACAAGAGGCCGCGATAGTCATGTTTATCTCTTCCATAAATGGGAATTCGACCTTGGAAATGGTTGGAAACGTCGGTGGCTCTTTGTGATACGTTCCTTCCTGAAGACGAGAAGCTGAATCCGGTCTCAAAGATCTCCCGGATAGCATCGTATCCAAGCTTCGTGTCGCTGTTTAAGAAGTAGGCCTCGAGCCCATGCTGAGATCTTGAAGCTTCGCTACAGGGACTCGAAAGCCCGAGCTAAAGCCGAGCCCTGCGCATCCTCCAGCGGTGTCATGATGTCGCCAACCTTCAGACGAAATGCATCATCTGCGGCACCGACGTGAACTCTCGAGATCGCTTCCCCAAGCAGTGAGAACAAGAAGGACAGTCTTGCTCAGGCCACCTGTTTGTCACGAAAGCTGAGGGCACCTTCAGCAACCTTCCAGGTCAAGGCAGTCAGCCATATCAGCGACTTGCACTGTCTCCGCGAAGGCAAACTGACAGACGCTAACCCTGACTTGAGAATCAGCAGTTCAACACAATCGGGGAAGCAACCTCACAAGAACAACGCAGCGAGAAAGACCGTGCTACGGTGTCGATTCAGCATCTGCTTCCCAAGAAGGCCTGTTGTGCAATTTTACCCTCCTCCGCATCCACAGCACCCAAGGAGATCTGAAGCTTCAGCATCTCCATCAGCTCCTGAGGCCCTCAACCCTAAACCCTAACCCCTAAACCCTAAACCCAAGGAAGTCCACCAGCAAAATTCTTGGGGAATGTTGCAGTTGGCCGTTGAAGTCGCAGTTTAAAGGTGGGGCTCGTGTGTCACATGAAGTCGGGCCCCCCAGTGCTTGTGTGCCAAACATCGTTGCTCAGGTTTAGGGTTTAGGGTTAGTTGGGTACAAGGGTTGCGGCTGTGGGCTTGTCCCTGATACCGGTCAGTTAGCCGGGCCAGGGAGCTGCCGGGGGTGAAATTCCCCGGGCCCCCTCCCTCCCTACTCCACAGGGTTTAGGGTTTAGGGTTTAGGGTCCAATGCATCCGTACGTCCGGAGGGGGGGACCATTGAATTGAAAGCCTTAATGGTTTAGGGCTCCGGCCCCCCGCAGAAGTAGATCACTGAGCGAACGCACCATTAAGGCCCGGGCTTGCTTTTAACATAAGAAGAGACATGGTCACTTCTCTAAAATATGCTCCCCTTCTGGGGTCCTTATCATAAGGTGGCCCCTCTTACTTAGGGTACTGAAAAAGGGACCATAATGTAGGCATGGTGAACAAGAGCGATTGCACAAGCTCCCACGGAGCTAGCGGTTCAGACTTGATGAGCGAGGGCCTACCTAACTTGCGACTAGACTGATGTTCAAAAGTAGAACCCTCGTAGGCCCGCTGCTGTTCGGCTGTGGATCGTGCCAACCTGCCGAGGATGCATGCTAGCTTGCCCGTTTTCGGCTAAGGCCATTTCAAGCTCCCGAGCATCTGACGTAGGCCAAAACTGAATTCTAGTTGCCAACGCTAGGCGCCCCAGCGCCCAGCTAGTGACAGCATTTCCGCTAGCATTTACGATCTACGCCCATGACTTTTTGCCTCCTGGCCCAGCAGCCAATCCAAAGCGAGGCTCATCGGCTTGGTGACGATGAAGAACAATATCCTGGCCAGGCAGACCACCCCCCCTCCCTTATCGCTGACTCCAATGACCCCCCCACGTGTACCGTGGAGTATCTGTGGGCCCACGGGAGCTCGACAGTGGCGTTCGATAGCCGAGTACTCTCTCTCGGGCAGTCGGGACAACATGCCGGCATGGCATCAGAAACTTGACAATGGGAACCGTTCTCGCGCCGACCTGGCACTTGCTGGCTGGCATCGCCATGGATTAGCAGGAGGTATTGGGCGGGAACTTGCCTAAAACTAAACCCTTTTTGCATCCGGGCTTGGGGCAGGCCGACTTAAAACTAAACCCTAAACCCTAAACCCTAAACCCTAAACCCTAAACCCTAAACCCTAAACCCTAAACCCTTGGGACCCGTAGATTTTATGCGTTTCGGCCACTGGGCAGCCCTCCGGCCTGGAGCGCATACCTGGAGCAAGCCGCCTGCAGCAACTTTGAAACAAGCTGTGTTCAGCCCTAAACCCTAAACCCTAAACCCTAAACCCTAAACCCTAAACCCTAAACCCTAAACCCTAAACCCTAAACCCTAAACCCCCGAAATAGTGTTTCGGACCAAGTTTCGCAGGTTTAGGTTGCTTAGGGTTGAAGGACATCAGGAAGGAAGGCCATGAAGCACCCTTGCAAGTTCTTGCAAGCCACATTGTATTATTGTACTAGGGTCTTTAGGGTTTAGGGTTAGTGGTGTAGAGAAAGTATATAGATGGTCAGCGCCCTTCAGGCTAGGAGAGCTTTTGCTTTAATGTTCACCTGCCGAGGCAGCACCCGGCTTGCTGGCCCACCTGTCCAACCCAGGATTACCTACTTTAAGTCTTCATCGCAAAAAAAAACAACGCATCCAAGTTTTTTGTAGAGCATGCATGCTGCATACCAGCAGAGCACCCTTGTCCAGTGATGCTGCTGATGAGGATAATTGGTGCCCAAATTACATGTTTATTGGCATCTGTCTTGAACTCCCATCACCCTAGGCCTGGGGCAAAATCTCGCCGAAAGTGACGATCAATGCAGTAGAGACCTCATATACTTGTTGTGCCTATACAGTCTGGCGGAGGTCCAGGCCCGAAACCTGCCTCTGTAGCAGCCTACGATTGTGCAAAAGCATGCGCTTCTCAGCTACACTCTGTGCCTTGCAATCTCCTGGGGTCGGCAGCTCTCACAAATGCATGGGTGGCTTTGGCCAAGATGCCAAAAACCCCACAATGCCATTGGCAATGTCCGCTGTCAGGATTGACAAGGCCTGCCAACATACCGACGTGCGGAGGCATACTTGCTGAAGAATCTCTGCACGTCCAGCTCCATACTGCACTGGGCGAAATTCCACGTCTATGCTGCTCAAGACAGAGGCCATCACACTGGCACAGGTAACACAAGCCAGGCAGGCAGAATTCACGGCCACGTTGCCCAAGAGGAGCGTGCACCTGCAACGCGGCCGGACCCTGCTAGCATGTCGGGAGGTCGTGCTTCCCTGAAGACGTAGCCCCCTATGCTGCTTGCCCATGAAAGGCTCTTTTGGCCAAGTGGCAGAAGTTGGTTTCCAGACTCTCGAATTGGCGCGATCTTCGCAGCGCACCTGAGTCAAATCTGGGTCACCTGCTTACGTCACAAGGGCAGGACAGAAACACAGTTCAGGTGCTTGGAGCTACTGCAGACATCTGCAGCCCACACCTGGCCAGCTCCTTGTTTTCGCCTTTCTGAACTATCTGCAGGCCGATTACCTTGGAAGCGTGGCTCTTTCTTGGGCTTCAATGAAAAAGAAACCTTCTTGCACAGTGCGGCGACATGTGCGCCTACATTACCCAAACCATGACACCCCCGTTGAGGAGTTTTCCTTTCCCTCGGCCTGTCACCCCACTGATTGGGGCTGTCCTATGGTGGGAAGGGTGTGCCGCGAATGGGGCTGGTCAAACGTCCATCCCTACTAACTAAAACAGGCCCCCCTTAACGAGGGTGGCTTCATACTGCAACTTCCCCGATCTCCCCTTTCTCTCGCATCCTCCTTCGGCTGGGTGTTGCTTTGCTGTCTCGCTTCTTCCCCTGTTCGGGAGGTCCTGCTTGCCACATTTGCCTGTGACCCATTTGATGATTCGCGACCGCACTCATCTCGCTGCTTGTCTGGCCTTGTTGTCTCTCTCCCTCTCGCTGCACACATTGGCCCCCCCGCCTTCTCGTCGCGCTTTGTTCTGCCCCCTCCACGATGGCAAGGACGTCCGCCGGATGTTTCTGTTCTTTGTTTCTGTCCAGCTCTGTCTTTTTCGAGCCCCCCCTCCCTGTTCATGACCGCCTCTGGCTGTTTCTCTTGACTTCCCTCTCCTTGCACCAGCTGTCCCTAAACCCTAAACCCTAAACCCTGAACCCTAAACCCGACTTGCTGGGCTAATGTCAGAAACTTCTGCAGGTCTAGTGGCATCCAGTCCCATCAGGCCCAAGGTCAGCCCGGAGAAGAGGCCGGATAATGCTACAAGGAACCTGCAAGCAATTACCAAAAAGAGCCTGGGTTTAGGGTTTAGGGTTTAGCCATTCATCTCGGACATGGGGCGAATCGCTCATGAACAAGGGCCCAAGCATGTTTTTTTTTTTCAAGCGCGGCGGGCCCACGCGATCATCGGCAACGTTGCAAACAGGGGAAGAACTGGTTCACTGGCGTCCTGGCCCAACAAAAGTGCAGGCAAACCTCGAGGTCTTGAATGATCTTGAAACCCTAAACCCTAAACCCCAAATCCTAAACCCTAAACCTGCCGTGGCCTACCCACAGGGCATCAGAAGGATGTGCAGAAAAAGGCCTCGCCACATTCGGTGCTGTTTCCAGCTGCCGCAGCCTTTGCCAAGCATCATGTCCATGTTAATGTTTCAGGAAGTGTTCCTGCTTAGGGTTTCTTGGAGAACAACTGCGGCGACCTACCTATTTGGGAGATCTTCTGGCGTCTTGGCTTGGGAGTTCGGGGGCTGACGGGGCTGTGACCTGTCGTACAGCAGTCGTCGCAAGCAGAATCGCGACAAGGTAGACCTTCACCTGTCGCGCTGAAAGAAGATGCTTCTGCCCGAGCCTGTATTGCTGCTGCTTGCGGTTTGTGCTTGGATGCCGGTAGCCTCTGGCAAACCTTTCACGTGGATACCGTGATCAGAAAAGACACTTGCCATGTTCCGAGGTCCCAGAATGTCTGGTCCATCTCCCTTTTGAGCTCATCAAGCAATAGTATGAGATCCTTTTGGATGAAGCTGACCGGTTTGCAAGCAAGCTGTTGACTGTAGTTCTGCCGTGGCAACTCTCAATTCCCACTACCACCGAATCTGCCAGGAGCTGGAACACCAGTCCATGTCTTCATCCTTCACGTCTGCAAGCTTGAATTTGGGACAGATCTTTCTCTTCCCGAGATGCACCACTGCATATAAATCCAAGACGTACGTGCATATGCAAAGACTTGCGGATCTTTTGTCCACACAGGTTTAGGGTTTAGGGTTTAGGGTTTTGGGTTTGGGGAGGTCCTTCCAGCCTCTTGACACGAGCACTCTGTGCACTGGAGACATGTGCCCTGCAGAGCGGCACTGCGCTGCTCGGAACGCCCGTGGGAAAATCTCAGCTGCACACTGTTTTGTAGGTCTAAACCCTAAACCCTAAACCCTAAACCCTAAGCCCTAAACCCTAAACCCTAGCTTTGTCTGCCATGTGCTTCCTTCGTATCACCATCGTGTGCGCAAACGGGAAGCAAGTGAGGACGTCTGCTCGCAAAGCAAGGTCTCAAGCTGGCATGCCATGGTCTGATTGTAGCCGAGAAAACTACATGTTCTCGATGCTTCCATCGGCTCTAAGGAAGCCGATGCGCCGAACTTGTTGCACCTCTCATTTTTCGTGAGGTGACTGGGTCAGCTCACGTTCAGATGCAACTAGCTTTGGTTGCTCGCGCACGTTGCTGAAGTAAGTGTACCCCAGGAATCCAACCTCCGAAGCCAATCGAGTGCAGGCAGCCGGACGGCTATGTGGCACACAGAAGTCTCCAATCAACAACAAGGCTGCAAAAACTGAGCATGCTGCCAGTGCCAGAGCATAGCCTGGCCACGATAGGAGTGGACTCGACAAGAAATAGTGTTGCGCCGCTAGTCTGCCACCTCAAGTTAGTTAGAGTTTAGGGTTTAGGGTTTTGGGGTTTTAGAAACTCTGGGAAATACGAAATTGGGCGAGTTGCCCGTCGCATGCTTCGGCTTGATGGGCTCGCCAAGCATGATGGCTCCATACCTGGTGCCCGTCAGCATCCCGTCAGCTACCATGCATGAGAAAAGCCGTATTTGTTTTCTTCACCCTTAAGCTAGATGGACAATCCCGTCAGCTGCCATGCATGAGAAAACTCATATTTATTTTCTTCACCCTAAAGCCTGATGGGCACAAAAATTCCGGACTGCAGGGATGGAATACACTGCGGGTGGGAGACCCGGGTGAGCTAAAACAACCACTTGGGGGTTCAGGGTACTTGTTGACCCAATGCTACCTGTACTTATAGCCCAAGAATCACCATATTGGGGCACCGAAGGGGCTCATACGTACAATTATACTTTATATGTAATTGGATAATAAGTACCATGAACCTCCAAGCATGTGTCTGTTCTGCAGCTTCGCAGCGCAACCAATGAAACGTTCCGAAACGTCGTCCTGAGCATCATGGTGGTCGTTTAGCACAGGCGAGCACTTACTTCTCCGCCAAGGATCACAATCTTGAGACTCAACGCCCCGCAGGATTTGATGACCATGTAGCCTTATTTGAAGACTTAGGCTCACGGATGGTGCGGATGCACTCACCGAAGTCATCTTTTGGCCACCCTCTCAATATGACTCAAGAAATTGCATCCAGGGCAGCCTTGTTCAGCCACTAAATCCATGCAGCATGACAGCTCAGGGTGCCAAGCAAAGGGATTGCAGAGAGGGGCAAGACGGTGCAAGTCATGATCTCGTCACTGTTGTGCCTTCTTTTGGAACGGTCTTGGAACGCTTTGTGACTCTACGACTTCCGATCGCAGTCGTCTGCATCGTTATCAGGTACTATTTCGACCTGATTCGCATTCACGCGCGGAAGGAACAAATCAACGCTTGTGCCATATCCCGGCAAGGATACCAAGTTCAATGATCCGCCCAGGTATCGGGCATAAAGGCGAGAAAGTGGCAGTCCCACACCGTAACCTGCGAGTGACGTGGCTCCGTCACCATAGCTGGGACCTTTGCCAGCAGTTGTGTAGAGGTAGGACCAAACTTTCTGTCCTACGACAAAAGGAATCCCTCGTGCACGGTCACTGACCCGAATTGCAACCTCATGGTCGTCCGCACAGACGATCACACTGATTGGCCGCTTCTGTACGTCGCGATCTGACTTGGCGACTTCGGCCGTAGCTCGGCAACTGTTCTTCAGTACCTCCGTCATGATGAAGCGTAGGAAGCCGGGGATGTATGAGAACCTTGTGGTATTGCAGTACAGAAAGGGTTTCCTGGAGTGCTTTGCGGTGCCTATTGCCTAGAACCCTGTGCAACCCTGAGGGCAGCCCCTAAACCCTAAACCCTCATGCTTTGCAAAGATAGGAAGCCGTGGAATTGCACGCTCCTGGAAGACCTGTACCTGGATGAGCGGGCAACGACCAGTCGTGTCCTCAAGATGGAGGGGTTCAACGGAGGATAGTGCTCTGTCATCCATTGTCATCTTCATACTGAACCTCCCGCCCTAGCGCTTGATAATAAATACTCCCATGGTGGCGCATATTCATCATATTCAATTTTGAGGGGAGGGAAAGGGGATTCATGGGTTGTCAAGTCAGTCCTCTGTGATCTGCTGCACGTGCATGGCCGTGTCTCGACAGATCTGTGCTACGTCGCAATCCGGGTCGATGATCCCAGCCATGGCATGTCCCCTTTGGAGCGCGCCAGAATCTTCCATTGTGACGCAAGCCAAGTACCTTGTGAACCAGAACCATCTTCACCCGGAAATCAGAGGCAATTCTGCATGCTTCAAGAGAAAAGAAAGAAAAACACTGCAACTACGACTTGATTAGAATTCGGTAGTGTCGCTGCGACATAAGCATCTCAGTGCCGATGCAGTTCAGAAGAAAATCGTCTGCCCAGGGATCGGCGAAACTGCTGTTAAACTCTTCCCCTCGTTGTGTATGCAAGCGATGCATTGCCAATGCCACCTGCGCATGGGGTGTAGGCTTGCTCACAAGTTCACTCACGCCAGACGTACACTCATTCTACAAAACCCTAAACCCTAAACCCTAAACCCTAAACCCTAAACCCTAAACCCTAAACCCTAAACCCTAAACCCTAATCCTGCGGCGTGTTCGGCTTCCTGAGGCCACCTTGTGGCGGACTGGCTGCTGTGCATGCAGGGCATGCTCAACAACTGCGGTGAAGGCGTCCAGCGTGGGTCGGCGCTGCACCAAGCGAAGGTCCCGAAACACCTGCACTGAAGCAACAGCTGCCACGAAACGTGCTTCAAAAAGGCAGGAGTCATGCCAAAACAACTACTACAGGCCTTCATGTGCGAAGTGTGGATCTCTCTAAGCTCCTTGATCTCCTGCGAACTACACAGGATCCAAAATGGATCCAAATGCACGACCACTTCAGGGCTGGCAGTGTTAGCACACCGCCAAGGTTCATCCAAAACAACCAAGGGGCGGTCTTCATGCAGGGTTTACACAAACAGGACCCACATCGCAAGCCCGTGGTTACCTTTTTTCGGCCCTCTGTACCTGCATCTGTGCAGCCGTCTGAACGGCCTTTCTGTGGTGTACGTCCTGGTTTCAACGCATGAGCCCTGGGGTGCTCCTCCCAGTTGGGAATGTCTTCAATCCATCTTATCCGCTCCGCAATCCTTAGAGTGGCAGGACCTCTACGTTTCTGCAGCCGTTTTCAACTTCAGCGCTTCAATGATTCAAGCTGCTCACACCTCTCCGGTCGGCTCTGTCCGGTTTACACTGGCTTCCCCACTTGGGGGGTTTCTGAAATTAGGGATACCTTATTGGGGTCCTTATTTTCAGCAGGGATCCTACAATTTGGGGTCTATATTCGGGATCCCTCATGTTCCTAAACCCCCCCAACTTTCAAGAAAGGAAGGCCCAGGCGCCGGATAGGCACCTCGACGTGCAGAAACTTGGCAATGCGCTGCGGGTCTAGCATGTCTAGCACCTCCTCACCGCAACAGTGGCCATCGATCAAGACGGTGCAAGCGATGTTAGAGCGGAACACAGAAACATGCCAAAAACACGAACGCCAGAAAGCCCTCAGAAGGTCAAACAGGGAGAGACGAATCTACCCAATGCGGCAAACTACTTCCCTTTACCAGTGCTTGTTCGGAGCTCGTTCATCTGCTCAATCAATCACTTTGGGGACTGATTCCGCGTCCTGCATGCTCAGAGGGCGCGGCTGCATTGGCACAAAATGATCCAGCTCTCCTCATGCAGATGTTTGCGAAACCCGTGTAGAACTCAGTTTGCTGCTGCAGCTTGCATCGTGCTTTTGGTGGCCCGGTTGCCTGGAAAGGTGGTTGACACGAGACAGGGCTTAGGACCATTGAGGATAATGGAGGACCATGACGCGTTCAAACTCTGGATGCTTATCTGAAGAGCCATGACACATGGCTGTTGCATGTGTCGGCTGCTGGCGGGTCGATGGTGCTGCCACTGTGAACTGTAGCTATGACCAAAGACCGTGAACAAGCAGGAAGCTCTCCTTTGATGAATCCTTCAATGTCCTCATCACCGAGCACCTCTGGAATCGTCCTTAGTGCATATGATCTGGCGGATTTGCGCCAAAGAGAGGCCGACTTGTGTCGTGCCAACTTGCAGCATGTGCTGCTGCATTTGTCTCGGTTTGCAAACAACGTCTGAACACAGACTCCTATGTGTCTGAAGATGTGAACGATACTTGAAGATGATTATGTGCACGGGGCAGTCCAGTTCCAGCACGACATGGCTTGTGGCTTCCTGCTTGCGGCTCTCTCTCCCCCGTTGGCATACGGGCCACAATCTGCCTTTTGGGTCTGCATCTTCGGTTCCGTTTCTACTGGCATCTTTTTTGGGGGTGTAGCCCTGCCAACCTTCAAATCAGGGATGTTCTGCTAGTCTGCTCATCCCACTCTTCTTTGAGATTGTGGCCGTCCCAGTGTTGCTCGTCAGCTTTGCATGAGTCAGCTTAAATCAAGCAGCCCCATCGACCACTCCATGCACTTCACAGCACCGAGTTCAGTATGCTAAGTTTCGGTTGTCTTTGAAGCTTCGCTTGCTAGATGTTGGGGCTGCAGTTTGGGCCGGCAAAGTCCGAGACACATCGAGCCCCGGTTCCAAGGAACCTGTCGTCCAAGATGGCACAGCAACCACGTGACGAACATCAACTCGCACGTAGCTCTTTCTCGCAGGACTGCAGAGAGACTTCTGTAAGCTGCCCGTGTTCTCCGGTGGCATGGGAATGGAAAAGGCCTGAGTGCCAAATACCGACCTACCAGTCAGGACCGTAGTTCAGAAAGTCTACTCGTGCCTGGCCGTCCCAGCTGGAAGGCCCGTATCGGCGGCGCAAAACCTGAGCAGCATCATACTTTTGGAGAAAGCTGCCTTTTGTGCGCCTGCCCGCCCTGTTCCTTGAAAAACGGCCTTGCATCTCATCTCGATCCTCTCCCCTGTCGAGATGTCGCTCTGCAACAATTCCCATATTCTCACTCCCGCTAACAGGGACCCGGCCGAAGGCACGGGATCCACATGCTCCTTGCGGCATGGACTGCTCACCCTAGCTTCATGGCAACTCATGGAAACTGCATGTCAGCTTCATGGCATCTTCTCTCTCAGCCCATCTCATGCTCCCCCCACCTCGATGTGTGGGCTTTCGCACGAGCTGCACCTCCTGGACCACGCTCTGGATGTCATGGAGAGGGCATGGCCTCCACCCACAAGTGGTTGCAGGGTTTAGGGTTTAGGGAAGTGCTCACCCCCCCATCTTTTGAAGAGCAGAGCCCCTTCGATGCCTCGTCTTGGGAGTCGAAGACGTACTCTTCTCCAAACAGCCGCCATTGCTGTGTGCAGGTCACTGAATTAACAGAAACTGCATCAACAAGCTAGCGGCCATAGGATCTGTTCAAGTATGGAGCGCTATGCTGTCAGACAAGAGCGCCTGCAGCTGCAGAATTGCTGCATTGTCCTACTGTGGCAGTGTTGATGTGGCTCTTCTTTCTTTTTCTTGGCTTTTGCCCTTGTAGAATGATGATCAACTCCCTAGGTCGTGTCTGGCTGGCGCTTGCCGTGGGCGTGAAGAGGTGGAGATACCTCTGGTTAGTTTGGGATATGATAAACGCAAGCTTCATATCTATATATGAAGTAGGGTTGATATTTCTTGCATCCCCAAAAGGACACCAAATATATACACTCACCAGTTTTAAAAGGAACCTTATATACACTCACCAAAAACAGAAATATATACCCTGCTTCATATACATATATATATATGTACACATTTATCTATATATGTATATATATATATACATATCGCTCTCTCTCTCTCTCACTCTCTCTTGGTTTGCAAATTAATGTATATCCCTCGCTCTGAGGCCATCCAAGGGCCTTGTTCGGTTTGGCACCAAGTGGCTCGAGTAGTTCACCACAGTGCCAAGGCCTGCCTGTGAGGGGCAGTCGGAGTTCCAGGTTTCAGAAATTCGGGGTACCACACTGAAGGTATCTGGGGGTTTAGGGTTTAGGGATATTGGGGTCCTTATTACAAGGGGGTCCTGCAATTCGAGGGACTATTTTAGGGGGTCCCTTGTTTTCGTAAATCCCCCACATCGACATCCCCATGAGAACCTGTGCTTCTGCCGCCCGCTCCCGTGCACTCGCCTACATTTGAGCAAACCATGGCTGGAGCAACCTCTATGAACGACAACAAGCCCATGCTTTCAGCATCCCAAGCCGTAACCGATCTTGCCGGAAGCATGCCGCAGGAGGACGGCGATGAGGCAAGTGGCATGGCTGAATCCGACGAATTGCAAACTGCAAACTGCAGCTGCAGTAAGTCGGCCAAGTTGCAGCGAACAAGAACAAGTGTGGATACCTTGTCCAGAAAGGAACACATGCAAACAAAAACAATGCACAGGATCGTCACAAAAATTTGATGCGTGGACAACGTTCTCACCAAGCAGTAGTTCAGAGCCCGAGGTGCTGAAAAACTTTGTCCAGGACCTTGACGGCACTGCTCAAAACATTGGGGTCTCTGCTTAACAAAGGCTCCCGGTCTCTCTCTCGTACTGCTTGGCAATGCGTGTTCTGCCGATATGCCCAATAAACAAGCTGCCGCCGGATGGTTGCAATCAAGGCACATCCACCTCAAGAAGCCGCTGCCTAGGTCATTGTCCAAGGATGCCACTATTCATTCGATGTCAAGCTGTTTGTGGGGTTGATGATGGCGGTAAAGTGTTTTTCGCGCCCCGCGGGAAAGAGAGGAAGAGTCCCAGAACACTCGCATACAGACATGGGGGTTTCTACGATATTAGTGGTGCCTCATTGGGGGTCCTTTCTATAAGGGGATCCTACTATTTGGGGGTCTATATTGGGGGCCCCTTATTTTCGTAAACTCCCACATGTCAACTGCTCGGCGCAGTTGGCTCTGCCTGGGTGTTGTAACATGGGGGGGGTCACCCACCACCAGCCCTGGCGGGCCTTAGGAGATGTGCGCCTCATGTGATGGAGGGCTTGAAAAGACAAAGCAAAGTTGAGCCCAGGCTTAAAGAACTTCTTTCAGGCGCTGCCTGCCATATCATCAGCACGCCCAAAAAAGCATCATCACACAACAGTCAAGCCTAAAACTTTGCTCGTCATCTCCGGCAGTTTCCCTACTTCGTCCAAGCTGCGATTCCATCGCGAGCGAGGCTGTAAGAAGTGCTGCTGAGACCGTGGGTGCCAAAACGTACTGTCCTCTCATCGGGCGTTGGGGGCGCTAAATTGGCCTGGGCATTCCTGCCAGATGCTCACAACACTGTGCTTAACGTTGGCTAGTTGAAACTTGGAAGACTGCTGATGCAGATTTCACAGAGCAGCAATACGCCGTCCTTCGGTGACACTGAATTTGCCTCAGTAACCAGATGATGTTCTTGGAACTTCTTGGGCATAAACCCGGCAAGACTTCAGTATGGCTGTGACGGGGCTAGACGAGAACGGAACTGTCGGGATTGGCAAAAGCGCATGCTGAAATCCATCCATTTCGATACCCGACCTGGCCCTGGAAGAAATCCAATTCTAATCCGTTCTCGTGTCCCTCCAGTCCCATCAATTCCAAAGCCGAAGAAGTCCGTCGAGTCTCGAAATAGATGCATGTCAAAACGCGCTTTTGCCAAACCCTCCCCCGCCACTCCGAAAGACTTAAGTGACTTGTCTTTACTGGTGGTGGGCTCGATACAGCATGAGCCGGACGGGGGCCTTTCTACGCAGTTCTAGTTTCCCTAAACCCTAGACCCTAAACCATAAACCCCAAACAAAGAGCGTGAGCAGGTGCAGAGTGCGCAGGCAGGTGACAGGCGCGCAGGAGAAATTGCGTCAGCCCGATTCGCAGTGCTTCCGTGACCATGGCAGCCAACGAGCAGCCGAGTCCTGTTCAGGGTTTAGGGTTTAGACCAGGTTTCTAAGGGGAGATGCACGTTGAGTCATGTTCTCTTCGAATTCTGCATGGAGAACTGTGCCTGTGCACCCCACCATGGAACTTGTAAGTCAGTCCTCCAACATTCCACTCAGGCGTGATTGCCGCAGTAATGAATGTCCCGATCTCAGAAGGCAGCCCCAAGCCATGTATCTGAATGCCCCAACGTTTCAATGACATGCAATTCCCTTGTCCATGATGGGTGATGGAGGGTTTAGGGTTTAGGGTTTAAACCCTAAACCCTAAACCCTAAACCCTAAAAAGAATCTTTCAGATGGCTTGTGGTTGACTTTGCGGACGAGTCTCTGTGATGAGGCAAACCTGAGCTCGCCGGAATCTACAGGACGAACATGACGCTGCAATATGCTACCCTAAACGGCCCTAAACCCTTCTACACTAGCCGATCACTAGCCCTACTAGACCCGCAAATTTCTGACCCTCAGAAATTAACGCTTAGACTCGCCACTTCCAGGCAAGAAGCACAGAAACAAGAGCCCAGCGAAGGGCTCTCCAGCCTGTCGGGGGTTTAGGGTTTAGGGTTTAGGGTTTAAGGTTTAGGGTGCGGCCTGCTTTGCTGGCTTTCATGTCACCGCTTCTTTGACATATCCGCTGCATGGGCATTGATCGGTTTGCTCACATTGTCGTGATACTATTATCTTCTCCTGCCTCAGCGCCACAAGAACCAGCAAAATACAGATAGGCGTGCCTGAACAAGTTGGGACATTCAGGACGAGCTCCGATTTTCACAGTGCATCGGCACGGCAAGAAAGGCTGATCAGACTCTTGTGAACACGTTCGCACTGAAAGGAGTGATCTGCCTGCTTTGAGCATCTGCGTGGCGCCTATGCCAAGAAATAAGTAAGTGGCATTTCCTTGGCACGTGGCACAGGTTCCCTTGCTAAAGGGAGCAAGCACTAGCAAGGCTCCCTCGTGTAGGACAGCTGGGGGCGTGGCCAAAGGCTAACGTCGAGGCCTGACAGCTCGCGAACGAGCCATAAGAAGCCCCATGCCGCACGCTCACTTCGCTGTCTTGCAACAGGCTGTCAGTCAACCAGGCAGCGTGCACAAAAGTTTGCACTCCCTCACTATGCATTCTGAATGCATGTTGAACAACTCGTCAGCTGTTCCGAATGGATGATGTTCTCATGTGGTGACCCGAAGTCAACCGGGAAGACTGAGCTGACACGTCAGAAATCAGCAGCCGGATTGCTGCGCAGAAGTGGGTTGATACTTTTCTGGATAACATCTGACAACCCTGAAAACAATCGGCATCTCTTCGCTTACGGCCGAGATCACAACGAGAACTAACAAGTCTGCATGGCCTGACAAAGGGCAACGGGCACCTCGGTGCGAATGCGCATCCGGTGTGTATGGATCTTGGAAAGTTGTTGGGGAGATTGCGATTGCTATGCCCTCATCCTTCGGCGTCATGGAATGCAGCTCAACTCCCGAATGGATTCCCGCGAGCTCTAGCCAAGTCTCGACGCTATAAAACCATGACTTTCCAGTCATGAGTGCCGATGCCTCGGTCCTGCAGCATCGGGACTAAGGGGCTTGCGCATGCAGCTTATTCTCGGCTTCTTGAGGCAGCAGGATGCCCGCGTGCAAGGCGCTGGGGGAGGTAGCCAGGCTTCAACAGCACCCAGGACTTTCCAGCAAAAAGCTACTGATTAGCCAAAGATTGAAGGGCGCCACATCTTCAACCCCAAGCCGTCCCGAGGGTGCGGGTCTTAGACTGTGAGCATGGCACGAGCCCTCACTTTTCAGCCTTTGAGTGGAGTAAGAAGGTGGGTAGAAGCCTTCAAACAGTAACGGCTGATGAACCGCTCGGTCCTCACAGAAGTGAAGCCGGCAAGCACGCTAAGATGTGCAGTCGCTGCCGAAGCAAATGTACCTCCACCACGGCTCTATTCAGTCGGTCTGCTTCTTGCATTTTCTCCCCCGCGCGAACTTTCTCCTGTGCTGCGCAAAGACAGGAAGCATGTTTGCATAAAACCATGCAGCTGCATGCGCTGCATGCTCTTGAAGGCAATGGCAAAGCACTTGGGCAATCTTTGCCCGCAGCCACCCTCCAGGCAAGATGTCCCGGACCAGAAGTTTTAAACTCCTGTCTTCGGCTAAGCAACAGAGCTGCGCTGAGCGCCCTCTTGCTGAGAGGGGTCCTCCTAGCTCCTGAAGCAAGAGGAAAGACCTCAACTACTTACAACAGCTTGGGATCTTCTCTCGATCACCTTCAGCTTTTGCAATTCTAAGCTGGCATGTCTGCGTACTGCTACCAGCCCTGAGGTGGCATGTGCTGCTCAGCCTTGTGCAACATTATCATCCCGCTCATCCTCAGTATGGACGCCGTAGCAGGGGATTGAGGTTGAGACAGTTGTGTTGCGCAGGTTGGTTGCGGCACCTATGTACTCTAATGACTGCGTTGAAGCTGGATTGCACTCCACAAGTAGTCTCTGCCAAGTCTCGGGATTGTTTTGCCAGACCATTTCTGCTCGCGTCAGCAATAGGCCCAAAGGGGCTACTTTGTTGCTGTGCCGGCCTGGGTGCCTGAACTGCCTGAGCTTGTGCAGCCGCCGGCACTTGACACGCTGGACGGAAGTTTTGATGGCAAACATGATTGACGAATCTTATGGCAGAGCAGGTAAGAACGTGAACGTGGCATCAAGGCAGCTCTTGACGCACCAGGCAAGTGCAAGAGCAGAATCACCTGCTCAAGCCAAGACGCGCTCACTTGCATCTGGAACCACTTCAGCACGCCATGTACCTATACTCCCCTTAGAACCTTCATAACAATGATATTTTAAATATCCTCTTGGGTTTTGTATAAAAAATATAGAAAAATAATCCCCAAGGGGGATATAGGTACAGGTTCCCAGCGCCGCAAGGAAGATCAGCAGCCTGAGCCAGGCAGAGCCCAAAAACTCAGGAGATGGTCTTGGACCTCATTCTCAAGCAGTCCCTAAACCCTAAACCCTAAACCCTTACTAAACCCTAAACCCTAAACCCTAAACATCCCTAAACCCTCAACCCTAAACCCTTATAGGGGTCCCCCCTATTTTCGTACAAACCCCCATGTGGGTAAGTCCCAGGCCGCACACCACCCGAGTCCATGGCCAAGGCCCCTGCCAAGAATGGATCTCGCGTGGCCACACAACAATTCCTTCCTAGGGTTTAGGGTTTAGGGTTAAGGGTTTAGGGTTTAGGGTTCGAGCAATTCTTGCTCCATGTATAGGTTTTGTGTTCACCTTTGGGTGATCCGACACAGCGGAGAAAGGGAAACATCTCAGCTAACGTCGATGGTCCTGCGCCAAGCGCGTAGAGCGCTCCGAGGAGAGCCCTGAGCGCAAGCATGATCGTCTACTGGTTGCTTAAGAACCCCGAAGCAGCAAAAAAACTATTCTTCCTTATAGGGGTAATAGAGGGGTTTTTGTTTTTTTATTCTTTTGGGGTTCTTAAGCAAATAGTCGTCGTGTGCGAATTTGCATGTTCTTCTCAGGGTCAGATCGCTGGTCCAAGACCGAGTGGCAGCAGCAGAACCAGGGCGATAGGCTGATATTTGAAGCGAAAGTCCATGAACATGTAGTGGAAGATCTGTGTCCTTGGATGCCGACTAAACATGGTCCTTTGTCACGCCATTCCCTCTAACACATTTCGGACGCTGCTGTGGCAGTCAGCGGTTGACAGTTGCATGCGGCGCTTCTCGACATGCAGCACCGCATGATTTGCGGCAAAGCCTCTGCAGGAAGAAATGCCTCAGAGCAGCGAAAGGCTGATCCAGGTTTTGCGCAAGAGTGCAAACGCTCCCTGCATCCTTCCAAACTTGGAGGTTCATGACTCGCTATAAGTACATTTAGGGTACAGTACTCATCACCCCTAAACCCTAAACCCTACTTATACCTACCAGGCACCTCCATCAAGGCGCGCTCCCACTTTGCCTTTTGCTTTTGGCTTTGGGGCCTTTGGCTGCCATGCTTCCTGAAATCAGCAGCGTCGGCAGTACAAAGCCAAGGCCACCAGGAACTCTCTAGGCTTCTGAGGGTAGTTGCATAGTTCTCTAAGTTATGGTCCGTTTTGGGGTACCCTAAATAAGAGGGGCCGGCTTCTAATAAGGACCCCAAAAGGGACAATACCTTTAGGGAAGTGAGCACATAGTACGGGTCCTGAAATGGGGACCCCCTTTTTATACCCCATGAAACCAAAGGGCCCATGCGTCAGAACCCTTTACCTTCTTAGAAGGCCGACGGTTTAGGGTTTAGGGTTTAGGGTTTCGGGTTTCGGGTTTAGGGTGTGAAATGGTTTTGAACTAGTCACATTCACAACGCCCGTTGGTCCCGCACAGACCTGTTCGTGTACTGCAACTGCAAAACAGCATTTGCGGAACGGCTGTCGCGTTTCCGACAGAAGGTTAAGCATTTGCGATAGCTAATCGGTGGATTGCCCTTGACCAGTGCCTCTCATGTTGCGGTTTCAGTGGACACACGAGTAGAACCGCTACTGTGGTTGTCGCTACTGTCATCACTACTTTTGTTTAGCTCCTATACCATAATGCCATACCTTCTCGGCTGGGATGATTCCGCATTCTGAGGGGACTTGGACACAGTCTTCCACCACCTAGCCTGCTGCACAAAGAGCCCTGCAAAGGACCGAGCAGGTGTCACACGTCAACTCAGAATCGACTGGCGAAAGCAGGGGGGGGGACATCGAGTGCACGTGCTCCATACACTGCAAGCTTTCATCTTACTTGCTGTTGATTATAAGGTACCATATTTCCCCCATATACCCTTCAAGGAATCATATATGGTACCTTATTCCCCCATTCCCTACTAACCAACAGTAAGCTTTGAGGTTGCAGGAGCTTTTGCTTATGACTGAGTACAAGGGGGCCCTCCGACATCGGTCTCGCACCCGCTGCCTTTCGCTCCATGCCCCTTGCGCTGCATCAACGACTTTTACATCTCAAACCGCTACTTTGCCACTATGTGCAATGAGAACTCCTGGCTTGTCACGCCAATCTCAAATCACCGCGCTTTGGGCAAGCTGAACCTTGCTTGGGTAGAGCGAAATTTAGCTCGTAAGATTGCATTGACGACAGATTGCGAGATTGCAGCCCAAGCCCACGCAGGCATCTTTACCCGAAGCATCCCCGGCACATCACGTAAAGGAGGCTTCGCTCCCACAAGCCCCCGAGACATGAAAGACATCCTCATGCACATTTGAGAGAAAACCCCAAGCATCCCCTTCTTTGATTGAATCCGGACTGATGCCCTGACACTAAACCCTAAACCCTAAACCCTAAACCCTAAACCCTAAACCCTAAACCGCTCTTACGTGGGCGTTGCAACAATCCAGCAATGGCTTGCGAGTCGCAGTGCGCAGGGTTCTGCCTGATGTAAGGCTTGGTAGCCCAGTAGCCATGTCATAATAAGTTTAATAAGGGTATCTTCCTTGGGGTCGGTTACTTTATAAGGGAATCTTGAACCAAAAACAGGGCAGAAAGGGTACCGCTGGGCTTGGATTTCTACCGTACGGTGCTCCGTACCCGTCTATGCATGAATGCAAGCTGGGTCCCAAGACTACCTAGATGAGCCACACACACGCACCCACACCCACACGCACGTACACTTGCAAGCACTCAGCGAGGGGGGTTCCAGGCCGTTTAACCCTCAGAGGTGTTCAAGTTGGTTCAGGTAGGTTGTTGCCGGGTAGGCAGATGTCCCATCACAGGCTGCGCATTCGTGCCACAACTCGTGACTCGTGACTCGTGACCCGCTAGCAGGCATTTGGCAGAAACACCCTGTTAGTCACCTTCTGCGGCTCGCAACTCAGGACTACTCATCGCATTGTGCATGCATGCAAGCCACTCGCTCCTGCTAGGATCGTGGCTGAGAGCCGGAGAATCAAGTGGAGTATGGGAAGCTAGCACAGATCGGGCCCTGCTGTCCTGTCTGAGATTTTCCTTACCACAGCCATAGCACACTGCGCGTGCGCGGACGCGTCTTTTGTATGCATGAATATGTTCCGCATGTACACTATATACTTATCTGTTTATTTATCTACTTACTCAAGTGGGACGCAGATAGCAGCTCTCGACGAGTGGGCAAGATCTGTGCAGCAAGGGCTGGCGGGCTACCTGCGGCTCTTTTCAACCAACCTGCCCTTGCAGAACAAACAGCTTCGCTTGGCCCTCTCAGGCCCCACTGTTGCGTGCACAGGAGTCTTTCCTAGCTTGAGCTGCTCGGAAGGGGCGGGACCACCTGCTGTGACTAGTGGACTTTTGCGAAATGGACGAGCGGACACACATCACATCATCGTGCCACCACAAGGTTTTTGTACCGCACAAGAGAAAAGATTGCCTCTTCCTAAGCCACTCATCACTAAGGTGTTGTCAGGTTACGCTGCGAGCGTCTGAACGCAGGACTTTGCAGCAAAGTGACACTTTCCGGGAAAGAACATACGCATCGCAACGTGCCAAAGCGGAATGAAGAGCTGCAGCACTTGGTGCAGGCTCTGTCTAAGCAGCACAGACAAGTCCGTCTGTGGCCTTCACCCCAAGGAGTCCGAGCAAATGATCCTCGGCTCTCAAGGACATGTCTCTGTGCAGATCACAAGTTCCTACTGGGAACCAGTAGCTTGCTTCTGCTTCTGTGCTCATCTGTGCCCTTCTAGGCCCTTGCATGCTTGCGATGCTGTTTTGATGTGTCTTGTTTCCGTGCGACCCAGAATTAAAATGTGCCCGTGTGCTAGCAGTTAGTCCCTTGCAGGTTTTATCTTTGGCAAGCAGCTTGGTGTCACTCGCCCATGGCCGCAGAATCCGCTTCCCAGTTTAAGGCACTCCAGCTGATGCCATCCTTGGATGTGGAGTATGGACGATTGGTTGATCAGATAAAACCCATGCATGTGGAACTCAGGTAGGGCTTCGGCTGGCTGTGATCGTGATGGAAGCTGCGGCGGCTCGGACGAAAGGCGGGCCAGGCGCACCTGCATGAGGCAGCTTCACACTTGTACGGGAGGCTTCTGACGGAGCAACTGTAGCAACTGTGGTCGTGGGTGCAGGCAAGTGTCTGCAAACCGCCGAAGCTGCGAACCCACGTGACTCTTGATCTGACTTGCACTTTTTATTGCTTCAATGCTGGCCTTATATGGGCCATCGTCTCGGAAGGCCAAGCAGGGCGTCAACCTTTGGCCTGGGGTGAACCAGCGACAGCTTTCGAAAGAAGAGAGTCAGTGAAGAATAGTGAAGAAGCAGATGCCAAACAGCCCAGTTGCCTTCGGCCCAGGACCTCAACTCACGTCGATCGTGTGTCGCGAACATGGTGACTATGCGGATTTCAGGGCAGCCATGGACGCCGCACATCACCAAGCCATGTCAAGGCCAGTGCAAGCTTCTGCAGTTCAGGGGATCTCGCGCATGGTGCTACTCGTCAGGCATAGTACGGCCCAGGCAAATCGGTGATGAATCCCGTGCACTCCCATGGCCCAAGCTCTTCGGACTCCTGCTCAAATCTGCCCGTCTCTTCGCAACTGAAGATTTTCATGTCGCAACTCTATGCACTTTGCACGTGCTCCTTGGACGACGTTTCTGACTGCATGTCCTGCTCCCCCATGTCATTCTGAATTACACACCTGGTCAGAAGTATGGCGTGCAACACATCGTGCGACGAAAGCAGCGGCAACAAACATGATTCGCACTTTGTGTTCATGCTGGACGGCTTTAGAGGGCAGTTAAACTGCGCAGTGGCCAGTGGTGTGGCCATTGATGTGTAACCCCTTGTGCTTCCGAAGCAACACACGTCCCTAAACCCTAAACCCTAAACCCGTGCTGCAAAAGGAGACGGCTCCGATTGCCGAGGAGCCTCCTGAAGAATGCCAGTCGTCCGCTGAAGATGTACACGCCAACCACCCCCTGGAACTTCCGCCCTGCAAAACAGAAGGGCAGGAGGTATCAGCCTTTTTGTTTTCTTTAATGCCGCTGTCAGGATGGACCCTAAACCCTAAACCCTAAACCCTAAACCCTAAACCCGAAACTCAACCCTAAGCTTTGCGAGCGGGGACTCTCTGAGTTTCTGGGTCGACGGACCCGTAGAGTTGCAGTTGACCTAACGTGGCAAGGGGCCCAGTTCGGCTCCCCCAAATTTGGGGTTAAAAAGACTCAAAAGGCCAAGTTTGGCACCACCATTTAGGGTGTAGGGTTTAGGGTTTCCCTACCCTTGCTCCCCTTGAATACTGATGCTCAAGCAATTCAAGCAGCAGCAAAACGGACGCCTGTTGCATTTGAGACCCGTTGTCTTGAAGGCACTGTCTCGACCGCACGTTGGAAACGCTACTGGCTTCAGGCAACCAATGCTCAAATGTTACAGCCTGAACAGTCCCCTAAACCCTAAACCCTAAACTGCCCCATCCAGATCCCTTGCCTGGGCGAGTTGTAGAGAGCGGCTGTATGTATGCACCTGCCGACACAAGCTGCGCAAGTGGAGCAATCCGCGGCGTGTGGGAAGATCAGGCTCAAAATCCGCTAGGCCATAATCTCGTGGTTTCCGAAAATAGGGGTACCCTTTTTGGGGGGTTCTAGTCAATTTGGGGCATAACAGGGGTATTTTGGGAGACTCCCATCTGTGACAAACAATCTGCGGGTGTGTGATGTTTTCCTCGCTAGCTGCCGCATGATGTTTGTCTTTGATTTGATCCAATGCTCCGAGGCTCATCGGTCTCGGTGCAAGCATTTACCAAAAGTGCGCCACAAAGCAGGTCAAAC